GGCAGGGCCGGCTGGCCAACTGCCTGTAGCTTCTCCCCACCACCAGCCCGGCCAACCCCCCCCACACACCCCCTGCCGAGCATGAATTTGTGTATCGGGCCTCTAGTAATTAATAAGTAATAATGCAGATATAAGAATAAACTGTTTTGCATACTCACAACTGTACACCCACTTTTGCCACACCCTGTATTTCCAGCTAAGCCCAGGAGGCAAGGTCCCTGAGGTCTCTGGCCATTTCCTAAAAGGAGCCGCCCGCCAGGCTATTGTTTGTGATGACTTTCCGGCAGCCTGTGTGATAGACAACCTTACTAGAGATATTATAATGCTGGATTTTTGTTCTTAACACCCAGCGTTGAATTCATACCCCAGGGAATCAATTCGTCGTCCCCATTAGCACCTTTCTTTCATGGGAGGGAAGGGGAATGAATGGGCTGGGGGAAAAGGTGCCTGAATGTGTTGGTATGGTTGGTATGGAAGGTGTTGGTATGGTTTGACGTTTCTCTTTTTCCATTTTCCTAGGGTTTTGCGGCCTCCAGGTGGCGGATCCAACTTTTCATTAGGCTTTGATGAACCCACAGAACAGCCCGTGAGGAAGAACAAAATGGCCTCTAGCATCTTCGGGACACCCGAGGAAAATCCCCCTTCGTGGGCCAAGTCGGCAGGTATGGCTTTTGTCTGATTGCTGGTCAAGGGGAGGACCCAGCGCGAAACCACAGCTGTCACAGCTGTGAGCCAAATCTAACTTTATCTTAAAGAGATAAAGAGCAGTTAAAGCTCCTCATTGGAGGAAAGACTGGGACCAAGTCTCGGGAAATACTGAGAGTTTATGGGATGGATCAGAATAAGGAGTGACGTCGGACAGGGTTACTCAGTCCTCTGTCAACATTTCAAGCCATCACTTAACCTCCCTCACACTGTTTGCTCATTTTGGAATACAAGACTAACTTATAATATCGCTCGCTAAGCCGGTTTGCTTTAGGTCTTCCTATTATGTTCCTCAAGAAAGTGTCTTTTGATTCAGGTGCCAAGTCCAGTGGTGGCAGAGAAGATCCTGAGTCGTCTGCACCCCCGAGAAGGAACTCCTCGGAGGCCAGCTCTGGAGACTTCCTAGACCTGAAGGTCAGTGTGACAATCGGGGAAGAGGACAGGCTTCGAGGACATTTCGGTTTAGAAATCAGATTCCCCCCTGTCGTCCTAAGAGCTTCAGTTCTTCCACTGGAGTTTTCCATAGAGGTTGTTGGGAAGGGACTGGGCAGTGTTGGTGGATGACTGACAACTGAAGAAAGGGCAGTCAGAAAGTGAATAAACGTGGCCTTGCTGTTCTGAGTCTCTTCAGCCTAGGATTGGCCTTTACCCCTCCGCGTTGATTTTAGGACTTCTGAGTCACATCACACTCACTTCCTGTGTATCTCAGATATGGCGGCATTTCTGAGTTCAAGGACTGTTTAAATTGTTGGCAAACGTTGTCCAGTTGTTTTGCGCTGAACTCAAGGACTGTAGCACCGCCCCAGAGTCCCCGGCTGTGTGTCTGGAAAGCTGGTAGGGTGTCCTCCAGAGTAGGGATTTCAGGGCACATGGAGGCGTCAGCCACCTGAGTGGGGGAGACTGTGGAAGGGGCTTTGGAATTGTTAGGTGCCTGTCAACCCCTAGGTCAGAAGCAAGAGAGGAAGGACAGATTCACTAGTTTCCCATTCTGATAGAAGGGCCTCTGAAATGCTAATTGATAGAGGTCATCAGTGTAGATGTTAAGATCTTTAAAAAAATTTATATTGGTTCGATGTTAAGGTTTGTTAAATTTTGGGTGTGTAACTGGCACCGGGGCAATTTGTCCAGCATTGTCCCTGGTTGAATAAAGGCTGCCCTTGACCGCATCAAAATGAAAACACTTGGTTTCAAAGACGTAGTAATCTCTCTGAACTGTGGCTGCTTTATTTGTATGTTGCAAAATTAAAATCCGGAGTAAAACTTTAATCTCTTTTCTTTTCCAGGGAGAAGGTGACATTCATGGTGAGTACTTCCGAAGCCCAGATTTCTGGTTCTGTAAATGGTTTTAGAATAGAGTGGGGCCCTGGCCAAGCGACTCCGTTGGTCTTGTGCACTGAACGGTGGAAGGTTGATTCCCAGTCAGGGCACATGCCTGGGTTGCGGTTCCATCCCAGGTTGGGGCATGTACTGTAGGTGACTGATGGATATTTCTCTCTCTCCCTTTCTCTCTAAAATCAATGAAAGAATAGATTGGAATTTTGATTCAAGTCACGTCCTGGGAAAGAGATTGGGGACTGCACCCTAGCTTTACCTGAATGCCAGCATACTCTGGGTGGAGGGAAGACAAATGAACAGGGAAGTGAGCGAACATGGCCACATTCGGTACGGCCAGCAGTGAGAGCAGTGCTAGAAGTGTGTGAGAAAGGATCAAAAACCAGTCCTTTACAAATATATGTACGTTATTCAGGCTGGTGTTTGTTACACTTAGTGAGAGCTTTTTAGTAAGTGGCTCTGGCAGTTCAAGTTGGCCCATGGCATTGAGCTTACAAAGGTTGGTTGATTTTTTTTCTCTTTTTAATATATATACTAAGCTGCTTGTTTATTGAGACAATGGAAACCTGGTGATCTTATAAATGGTGATTTAGGGGGCAGATGTAAATTTTCATCTCTGTGGAAATGAGCTGTTGCCATTTAATTATTTTAATCTGTGAAGTAGTTATTGGCATTTCCCTAACAAGTGCCAGAGAAGTCCTGACAAGTGTGATGTGGAGTTGACACACACCAGGCGGCGGCAGCGGGTAAAAATGGACTCGGTGGAATGCAGCTATCTGGCCCTCCGGTCCTGCGGGGGCTTCCTCGCGGCCTCTTCCTGCCATTACATCCTGTGCTGCAGCCTCCGGGGAGTCAGATGTATAAGAGCCACGTTCCTCTTCTGTCCTCTCAAGCGGTGCTTTTCTTTTCTTTTTTTCAATATTTTTATTTATTTCAGAGAGGAAGGGAGAGAGAAACATCAATGATAAGGGAGAATCATGGTTCGGCTGCCTCCTGCACTCCCCACGCTGGGGATTGTTAGAAATAACGCGAGCCCCCAAATTCAGGGGTCCGGGTAGAACACAAATCACACTGGGAGGCAGGCAGTAGGCAAGTGTCTTTACTTCTCCGCAGAAAGGTGCCCGCTCAGTCTGGAAGCACACACCCCAGGCAGGTGGTCTGCCGGCTTTATGATCCCTGACCCACGTGACCTGTCCCTTGCTCTTGATTGGAGCTCAGGCGCATAGTCTTTCACGATTGGCTAATTCAAAGGGAGGGGTTGGCCTTGGCTGTTTCAAGATGGCGGCCCCCAGGGGAGCTGCAAGCCATGCGGCCAACATGGCGGCTGTCTAAACTGTTCTTTGGCAGAAAAGATGATTTGTTTATTCTCACAAGATCGAGCCCGCACCCCGGGCTTCTGCCCTGACCGGGAATCGAACCGTGACCTCCTGGTCCATAGGTCGATGCTCACCCACTGAGCCGCGCGGGCTGGGCTCACGGTGCGTCTCCGGGTGGGGTGAGCTCTGAACGTCTGTGAGCGTAACCCAGGCGCATGCTCGCTGGACACATTCCCTGTGCAAGGGCTGAAGATCGGTTTGTTTTTTGTTCATGTCCAATTTGTTTCATTTGAAAAGACTGTTCTGCAGGTAAAATATCTTCTAGGCGTTTCGATTCCACTGCTTTGTGTAATCCTGAAATACTTCCACTGTGAGACCTTATTTAGCCACAATCCTGACTCACTAATTTTGGCCAATAAATACAATTGGGGATTTGGGGAGCCTGGAGAGTGTGTGAGATTCTTCGGGTAAATCGCACATTGCATTGTGTAGTATGACACGACCTTCCTCTTTTTTTCTCCCGTTATCATCCATTTGCCACCTGATTATTTTGTGTTCCTGATAGCTGCTACTTTTACTTTATTTGTCGTAAAATAACAAGGGGCCTGATCATGTAAGGCACATCTGGTGGAGTAGAGGTCAACCCCAATTCTGTCGCCAAGTTTACTTCAAAGCCAAGCTATTCTGCTCTGTTTAAACAAAACAGATTTTGTTTGGATAGAAGGAAAATTGCCTGCGTCTTGTGGGCAGTTAAACAGAGTGGCCACAGGGAGGACTTTGGAAATCTCTAAGAGAGAGGCATGAAGGCCTGCTGTTTTTAGTCTCCATATGTGCTGTTTTTCCTTCCTCGCTTTTTTTTTTGTATGCTGTTACCTCATTGTGGAAGAGGACAGATCCATTAATAATAAATGAAAGAAGATGGGTGGAATTGAGCTTGACTGAGCAAAAAATCACTGTGTGGGAATTAATTGCCATGGTAGCGCTGCAAGGTAATTTTGTGTCCTTTAGAAGTGCCCGTTAGCTGCTTGGCCCCGACAGACAGTGGAGAATCAGGTACATGTGTGTAGCGGGGAGGTCAGGCCATGTCCTCGCAGCAGGAGTGAGACTGCTCGCCTGTTGGCTCAGCCTGAGTTCATGCTCTGTATTCATCTATTTTGAATTGTTTTTAAAATGTGGGTTTTGGGGGTTTTGTTTGTGTTTGTAGTACATCAGACATGGTTTTTTGTTTTGTTTTTGTTTTTTAAAAAAATATATTTTATTGATTTTTTACAGAGAGGAAGGGAGAGAGATAGAGAGTTAGAAACATCGATGAGAGAGAAACATCGATCAGCTGCCTCCTGCACACCTCCCACTGGGGATGTGCCCGCAACCCAGGTACATGCCCTTGACCGGAATCGAACCTGGGACCCTTCAGTCCGCAGGCCGACGCTCTATCCACTGAGCCAAACTGGTCAGGGCCAGACATGTTTTCTTAGGTTATGTAAGGGACACTTATTGTGGGACTTGGGTACTTGATGGTGATGCATGTGATCCTGTTGCTTGTGTAACAAGAGTGTAGCAACAGGAACCGAAGGGTAGCCGGCCCTTTCTCCCCAGCTTCAGTTCATAACCGTAAGGGCTGTCGTCTTGGAAAGCCTCCTATTAGAGTTTTACTTGTAGTTTAATACTATAGAACATTATGTGTGTCATATCATGTTACTTCTGCAGAATGTTCCAGAAATTCATCAAATGCCATGTGACTAGCAGCAGTAGCTTGTGTCTGAGATTTTGGTGTGTTTCTGATCTAAGACCACTTCTCCCTTGGACTTCTCAGTTTCAGTCGGCTAAATAAAAACTTGGTGCAAGTGGTTTCAGGAACATGAACTTTTAATGTTTGGTCTTTGAAGAACTTAGAGAAACTATGTACTTTTTCAAAATTAGAACTTTTCATTGGTGTCCAGTATGAGTCCATATGGAGTTCCTACATAGTATATAGCAGATCCAATATTTCGGCTTCACTGCTTCCAGGGTTTGGAACTCCCAAACTGGGAGGGAATGCATGTCCTTAAGCCCTGGCTGGTGGCTCAGTTAGTTAGACCAGCATCCCGTTACATCCAAACGGTGTGGGTTCTGTTACTGGTCAGGGCACATCCATAAGTTGTGGGTACGATCCCCAGTTGGGGTGCATACAGGAGGCAACTGATTGATGTTTCTCTCTCACCTCTCTCCAAAGTCAAGAAAACATATCCTCAGGTGAAGATTGGAAAACTTTTTTCTAAGTTTATGGAAGCTTTTCTCCCATGTCTACTACTAAAGGTGCCTCTGTGTGTGATTATTCTAAGGCAGGTATTAGAATACTCAACTGAATGTGGTCTAACACTGAATGAAATGAGACCTGGATTTTCTTTAAAAATTAAAAACCGAACATGCCTTAAAACTATGAAACCCTTCATAGAAGTTTCCTTTCACAGAAAATTCTGAGTTTTTTCTCTTGCAGTTACTCTTGACTTTGAATCAATGACGTCTCTGACTTTGTAAACTACCTGGTTAAGAATATATGCTTGTTGGGAGTTTCACAAATCAGCCAGTGAATCAATCAAGCAATATCCAGGATTTTGGACAATATTCCACTAATTCTAAACACTTTAATATGGGAAGTGCCCAGTTCATGAGAGATGGGAGTGACCTGGTGAATGGAGGTGTTATTACAAGCCAGTAGGGGAAAGGTGGACTCGTTAATAAATGTTGATGGTACAACTGGCCATCTGTGTAGTTAACATCAACCTCACCCAGTTATCATGGACATGTAACATACAACAGGAACGCAGTAACATTTCCCACCCGTCAGTCTGGCAAATATTAAAGCAAGGAGGTTACCAAGCGGTGCATATGCAAAGGTGTCAGGTGGGCATACATTGCTTTGACGGGGGGTATGAGGTGGGACGTGGCACAGCCACTTGGGAAGGTGCTGGGTAGTGTTTCCATTACAGTTTTGTTTGCAGTGCTTGGGCCAGTTGCTCAGTAGAAAACTGGATATATTAAACACACACACACACACACACACAATAAAGCACTTCAATTAAGCAAGGTGAATTATGACCATATGTATAAATATGGATAAATTTGCAAAAGAGTGAAAAAAAAAGGAAGTTGATATTGTTTATGTTAAACACGGAAAACAATATTATATGTCATGTGCTGGATATAAAATACACGTAAAATATGCCCCAAACAAACCCTCTGGGGATAGGGCGAGGAGACCCACGTGGAGGTGGGTTAGGAGTTGGATCTAGAGCTTGTCTGTGATCTAATTTACAATAGTCATGTCTTTCTTGTTTGTGTAATTGAGAAAAGAACACACACAGAATGAGGCCTGGGGACACATATGGCAAAAACACAAACCGAGGTAAATGCTGGGTGGCGGGGACATGGTTGGCGGCGGCGTTCGCTTCTTTCTGTCTCTAGGTATGTTTTGAATCTTCCTAAAAAACAAACAACTGAGATCCTTCCGATTCCCTGGGAATCGCTGTTAGCTTTCATTTCATTCTGTCTCCATAGAAAACGTGGACGTAGACTTGCAGGCCAGCCTGGGGCAGAGCGAGGAGAAGCCGGTGCCCGCCGCCCCTGTGCCCAGCCCGGTGGCGCCGGCCCCGGTGCCATCGCGGAGAAACCCCCCCGGCGGCAAGTCCAGCCTGGTCCTGGGCTAGCGGGCCTGTCGGCCGCGTCGTTCTGTCTGTTTGTCTGTTTCCTCCATGCTTGTGAACTGCACAACTTGAGCCTGACTGTACATCTTTTGGATTTGTTTCATTAAAGAAGCACTTTATGTACTGCTGTCTTTCTTTCCCCTTTTTCTTTTGGAAGAGCAGGTGCTTCCTCTGTCCTGCTCCGGGTCTGGAGGCCATGGCATGAGAGCTCCCAGTAGTAGGTTGGCGGGAAAGCCTTTGAACCTCATCCCGTGTTTTTAAAAACAAATAATTTGGTTCCAGATGTATTGGAGGATCTTTTGTACTGAGGTTTTTAAAACCCTTTTCTTGTCAGCTTTACTTGGGTTTACCAAGCCTTGATCGGACAGGCCAGTAAACAGTCCACAGGCACCGTCCCTATGCCGCCCCCGCCCCCCAGGGCTATCTTTATGCCGAACCTTCTGGGTGTCGCCCGAACTTGTCCCTGCCCTTTGCTAAAAGCTCTTCCTGTGCCGTATGGAACCACAGCGGCCTGTGCCTCATGCCTTGCTGCCCGCAGAGCAAAGACACTGCCTTTTCTTTCTGAACCTTAAGCAAGAAGTCAGGCACTCGCTGGGCTGGCCCAGGAGCAAAGCCTCCTGCTGTCCCGCAGGGGACGCTCCATGTCCACTCCAGCTGCCGGTTCCGAGTGTCCGTGAAGCAAGCGAGGGCGTGAGCTCACAGCACGGACCCCGCGGGCAGTGCTCTGACAGCCAGACGCTGTGTGCATGATGCTGGTGTTGACCATGAAACGAAGTCTCATCCTTAAAAACTGTGTTGTACTTCACAATCCTGGACTGTTGCTTCAAGTAAACAAATGTACCGATTTTGAACTGTCGTGTCCTGTGTCATCTTTTTGAGATGGTTTCCATGTTCTGCCTGCCTCGTTGCTTTTTTCTTGTTACTACAAATCCTCTGCTCAGTGATTGGTCACTCAGTGAAAACGACCCGTGAAGGCCAGGCAAGCGGGCTTCCCTCTGAAGACACTTCTCTAAGGTAGCCGGTTCCCATTCATAGCATGAGCTCAAAATGATCATGACCTCTGATGTCTGTGGCAATAAAATTCAAGGATAATGAGATGAACTGATATCTAAAATAATTATTAGCCAATATGCTGTCCGTCCGACTCTTCTACTACCTACCCTTTGTGCTGGGTGTAACGGACTGTACACCCAGCACAGAGTCCAACCTGCAAGGTGCTTCGCAATGGTGGGCGGTCAAAGAGAGAAGAGCTCCAAAGAAAGGAAGGGTCCACGTTAATTAGAAGGTGACCGGGGTGAGTGGGGGGTCCGGGGAGTCCCCATGAGGGATATGGAGACCACTGGGGTCTAGGGAGAAAGCTCCAGGCCCACATGCTGTATCGAACGTCTAAATTGGGCATCATTAGACCTTGCTTTTAGGCCCACGGGTGCCACCTACCAGCTGTATTCTGTCGGCTTGTCATTCGGGGCTCCATTTCCTAACTTAAAAAGTGACACTATTTGCTCTGGCCGGTTTTGCTCAGTGGGTAGAGCGTTGGCCTGCCGACTGAGGGGACCCAATTCTGGTCAAGGGCATGTACTGCAGTTGCAGGCTCCTCCCCGGCCCTGGTTGAGGCGCATGCCAATTGATGTGTCTCTCCCCCTCCCTTCCACTCTCTAAATATCAATGGAAGGGTATCCTGGGGTGAGGATTAACAACAACAAAACAATAAATAAAACAACTTAAAAATGTTTAAAAATAAGTGACACTTTTGATGAACTAGGTCACCTCTAAACCCCTCCCATGATCGAGATGACTGAGTATAGTGTAACCACAGACTCATTTGAAGGATCTGGCATCTCTGGGAGCAACCGGAGTGTTTACAGGTTGTGGGGGTGTTAAGTTTCTCTTACAGTGTAAAGTATGTGAGCCTGAGTTACGGTTTCTCTCATGACTTCGGAGATAGGGAACCAGCACCCTTCTCTCAGTGAAGGTGGGGCTCCCAGAAAGATATGTCCCTGATTTGTGTCACCACTTACGATATGGAGATTTATCTCCATAATCTACGGAGATAAATGCCTCATCAAAATTAAGGTGTTCTGAGGGAAGGACAGTTCTGCCTGTCATTTTGCTACTATCAAAATTACTTGGAATTTCCTAAAATTTACATAGAATTTCCTAAAATTCCATGTAAACATGTTTGCTAAGGTGTTAAAGATTCCAGTTAGAAAGTTTAGGGTCTAGAAAGCGAAATTGAATTGCTAGATCATCCCTTCCCCCAACTGATGGGAGGAGTATGATGTAACCTGCAGCCCGGAAATACCTGAGTGATTAACCATGTACCTTATATGGACCATACATTGGACCACCAATCCACACCTGCCAAATACCCTAAGGCAATGATGGCGAACCTTTTATTTTTGATATTTATTTTATATATTTAAATGCCATTTAACAAAGAAAAATCAACCAAGAAAATGAGTTCGCGTGTCACCTCTGACACGCGTGTCATAGGTTCGCCATCCCTGCCTAAGCCCTTGTCCTATATGGACAATGCAGTAAGTCACCCATCAGTATGCACCGAGTACACTAAGCCCCTCCCCCTCCCGTTCCGCCGCTCAAAAGGCGTGCCCTCCCTGCACGCGCTGCTGTCCTCCCCTTGCGAGACAGCCGGGCAGGTCCTTCTCCTAAATAAAGCCTGTAGTCCTGGTTTTCGGCCGCTGCCTGATTTTTCAGAGTGATCTTAAAATGATGACTAGAATGGACAGTTTGGACTTTTTACCTCGTTTGTAAACTGCGGTGTCTTAGTGAAGGAGGGGGAAATAGGTTCTCAGTGTGTACTGCCGGTGCAGTAACTGCTTCCTCTTTTCTTAAGCGTGTTTGCAAGTCATCTTAGAATGAATGGGACGCCAGGCTCCCTTTGGACTGCGCCTGTTGCAGTGGCTTGGAAGTATTGGGGTGCTCAGATGGGGACCGATGCTTGGGTGTAGTCAGGAAACAGGATGAAATCTACAAAAGGGGGCGTTATTTCAGCATTTTTAGAGGGAATCTCATGCCGATTCTCCAGGCGTCAGTCCGACGCCCTGAGCTGGACGGAAGCTCTTCCCGGGGACGGCGTGTTTGAAGCAGCAGCTCCGGTTTCCAAGCAGCGGGTTTGCCAGTTCCTTTCTCAGGAGCTGGACTCACTCAGCGCTTTCGCAGGTTCAGCTGCGGGGACCCCGGGCTCCC